CTGATAAATAAAAGGGCATATGTCATTTACATGCAGTCATGGTGTTTTTTATAGATACATAAGGTCGAAATTAATAAAAACAGATTTAAAAATTAGCCTATAAAAGAAATGAACTTAGTGACTTTTTGCTATAAACCGATGATATATTCTAGTGAAAATTCATTAAATAATGTATTTGTACTAATCCTTTTCTCATTTGTTCATTTTGATTATATCATATGAAGGCTATGATTTACCCATTAAATAACTTTTGCTCTTAAATGACCTTCTACGTGTGTTCCTGTTGATAAGCGACCGTTCATTTATTTATTTCAATATTTTTTCAAAATATTTCACAAAAGATATAAGTGCATGAGGTAATTCGCTGTTTTGAGATGTTACACTATACGGGATTTGCTCAAAATAATTTTCCACTCAATTTTTTTTTAGTATTGATAACTTTTGATTTTAAGAGAAATAATCAACTTTACAATGAGCAGTTGAGTGCCAGATGAACCCATCTGTAATTACATAAGTTTACAGTATTCCTATTTTTAACTCACGTTGAAATTTTTAGTAATCAGATCATGGTTATAAAAATCCATTGCCTATTCCATAGCTGACTGTTACATCCTTCGTAAGCGTTCTAAAAGTCAAAATATAAGCAAAAAAGTAGGGAGGCGATGTTATGAATTTGGTAGTGTTGCGCTCAGTTATTTTTTGGAGCGAATGCTATTTTTTTTTAAGTTATTCTAATTACATGGTTAATAATTCTTTTAGGAATAAAATTATAATTAAAAAAGATATAATGTTTTGATTGTTTAATTATTTTTCACAAATCAGTATAAAACTAATATGGAATAATGAACAAAAAAAAATACATTTTTTTTTGTTCAAACTGGAAGGTAACCCCTCCTCCCTTGTGCCCACCGGTATTTGTTGGTACATTATTCGTTAGTCGTAACTTTCTATGCATAGAACACAACCACTGTCGAAAAAGTAACCAAGACATTTGCATTCTTTTTGAGTGTTATTTTTTATATGTGAATAAGAAGTTAGTAATCTAATTTAGATATAGTCGACAATACTAGCGAATCCAGGATTACATTTGGGGCGATTTCAATCCGAAAGCTATTTGTATCTATATAATGATAATTACTTTAGAAGAAAGAGAAAGAAACTAAACGATTCTTGAATTCCTACTAAACGCAGTTAAACGAATAACAATATTTTTATTGATACTTTTTATTTTCATTTACGTATATATGTAATATATACGTAAGGGTAAGTATTGCGATCGAGAAATTTTTTGAATCTGAGTTTTCAACGGAAATACACGTTTTGAGGTACCCTGCGTCGAAATGACCAAGTTCCGAAAAATGGTCTGTGTGTTTGTATGGTAGCAGTCTAGCTCAAAAACGAAAAGTCGTACGAAACTTATATTACGTATTTAAGATAAGAATATGCCTTACATGTGACAGCAACTTTTTTCTTAAAATCAGTTAACCCGAAGTGCCACCATGTATCAAAGCTGAAACACATTTAAACAATTTTCTCAAAAACGGCTCTAACAATTTTGATTGAACTCGGTGTATCATTATATAATTAAGTGGTATATATTTAATCAATCAGGTCTTATTCCCATTGATGTCACTTTACAGAATTTAAATGCCCAATGTTCATATACGTGTCTTCCTCTAAAGTACCTTTGATATGATTTATTTTAAATAACTAATCATCTCAAATTATTAAGAGTTACGACAAAATGCTAAATATAACTTTTGAAAGAGTTTGATAATTGAATAAAAGATACAAAAATAAGAGAGCAAGTTCCTAAGCTTAGTGCTGAGCTCATCGATGGTATCAGATTAGTTTCATAACTAGGAAAAACGATTGTATCGATTGATTTAAATAACTTGTTATATAATGTATGTAATTTACCCAACACCATAGGAGAGGAAAGAGTGGGATCCGATGTTTCATTTTATTAAATGATAGCTATGATGTTGATTGCTTTTTAATTAAATATATCACAGTAATATGTAAATTAAAATTCATATATACATACACACACACACATATATATATATATATATATATATATATATATATATATATATATATATATATATATATAACAATAATAACCTATATAATACAAATATGCTACTAATACAAAAAAAAAATCTGATTTAAGATATTTTTTTCAGGCAGTCGCTGGTACTACAGATATTGATAAAGCTGGAATTCACGTACAAAAATCCAAGATAATTAATGTCATCGTGCATCCGAAGTTTGAAATGTAAATTTTCATGTTCAAACTATGTCAATATTTGATGTTTTATTTAAGTTTATCATTTTAAAAACAATATACTTAACATCATTGTTATAATATTTTGCAGACATTCATCGCTGTTTGACATCGCTATTGCTAGAGTATCGAATGGATTCGTTTTCACCCCGTTCGTCAACTACATCAGTCTTCACTCTTCCCCTGATACACCAAGTGAAAATTATTTTCAACTTATCTTTAAAATACTTTTATAGATTTTGCAGCCAGTTATCATGGCCTGAACTAGAAAGTTGGCACTTGCCGCGTGTGCCAGAATTTAGAGGGCGGTAAATTTCAAGATTTTTTTTTTATTATGGATCAAATAAAAAAATATTTCTTTCTACTTTTGGGTTGCTTTTATCTTGATTCAATGGAAAATATGAGTTAATATTATTTGATGTACCGAAAGTACCAATGTTAATTTCGGTTTAAAATTTATGGATACCGGGAAATGAAAAGGGAAAATCAATCTTTCCCTCCTGGCATTTATGGTTATTTTCAAAATGACATTAAAGTTGAGGGCTAATTTAATGATGCCATTGAGCAGCGATGTTGATGGAAGATTCGTTAATATGTAAATGCTCCGCGTTTTGCTGAAGATCTCCGTCATCTTCCAAGCATTCATGTTTTTGTCAGGCTCTCCGGAAATTAGATTTTTTTTTGTTAATTCTATTCAAGCTTAATCATAAATGGAAGACCTACAACTATTTGCAATGTCTTATTTTAAAATCGATTGTTAAAAAAATCTTACTGGCAGCATTGGTGACGGAACTGTGATGGATCAGATAAATCAATCATGAGAAATGATTTAGACGGTTGGCGGTGTTTACGATTTTTCTTTATACACGGTTGCGGTGATACCAGCCAGAGCGTTATGTTTTTGGGCTGATCGCCTGGATGTAACAATTTTTCGAGCAAACTACTGTACAGTTTTTAAGTTTGGTAGATGAAATTATTCAGTAAGATCCTGTGAGTTTTCCGAACCAACTTGGAGTTAAATCATTGGCCAGTTGTTATTGAAGTGTTTTAATCTCTCCATTAAAAATTATGTAAAGACTTTTTTAAGGGAAAGGCTCGACCGAATTTTAAATTAGATGATTTATATTGCTCATCTGCTTGAGAATTAAAGAATGATTTGAAACAATATGAGCTCAAAATACCAAACAATTTTTTTTCATATTATAAATATTTTCAACTTCTTGTTTGTTTCATATCATACTATGTATAATTTCGTGATATTCTATGCTAAAAATAAATATCAATACTTAAAAAAAATGCAAAAATAACCTTATCCATTCTTAAGTAATGTTCTTTTTGTTTTGTCCTCTCCTTCCTCGCCTGTTCGGCTATACAGAGCCAGGAGTGAGGGCGGAGGGAGGGGGGGGGAGGGTTAATACCAGAGTTACCGGGCATTCCCGACCCGAACCTGTAAATATTTGATCAAATTATCGTTGATCCGTGTGCTGCAAACACGCATCAGCCCGCTCGACCACTCTACCCCCTTCTTGCAGATCTACTTAAATACTTGTCAGTTTTTAGAAAAATTGACGTCTACGAATATTTAAACTGAGTGTAGTAGTCGGGTGCCTTCCCCCCCTTTCCCGTCGTGGATGATGCATGTTAACATCCGAAAGACTCTTTTGGTGATTTATAATAAAAGCAATTATCAACAATTTTAACTTGTCAATACATAATTTCTTTATGGATAAAAACAGATATGCAAATACAAACGTTAAGCTAATTTTATAACAAGTTTTTATTTTACCTAAGTTTTAGTGGTTTTTTTTCCTAGTCCTAGTGGTAATTCTTATTTTATGAAATACCTATAGGCTTTACTTTGTTTTATATAAATTGCTATATTTATTAACTAAATCCATTTTTTTTAAACAGCTATGTTATAATTTATATTCGTGTTAATGTTAATTATCTTCGGAACAATATGAAATCGTTCAAAGTCCAATTAAATCGCTCCAAATATTTTAGATTAAATATTACAGAAATTAATTTTAATTTTTATGTCCCTTGCTAGTAAGTATTTACTATTCAAAAAAGAAACATGTTGCAGTATGTTAATTAATATAATAAATCTTATATTATTTTTGAATAAAGTAATTTTAGTGATATTTCCAGAAGTAAAATTTTTAGTATTTGTACAGACTGTGAGTAAATTGATTCTATAGTAGGAATCACAGTGTTGAAATGTAGAACTGTGAATAAAAGTATAAATTTCCTCACTAGAAATATCATTAAAATTAACAATAAAAAAGTTGAAATTGGAGTTAGTCGTTCCGTCAACTGAAAGGTTCAATTAGTTGTGTTTTTAGGTTTATGTTGGAAATATGTCTTTTTAGGTTTTAGACATTATTAACCTATCTAGATTTCCTCCGGTTTTTTTCCGACATCGAAGCGCGAAATATAGATTTTTTTTTAAATCCACACTTCGATATATTCTATATTTACATTCATATATTTCTTTTTAATTTTTCGACATATATTTGGAAAAGATCCATAAGATATTATCGATTTGTTATTTCGATATTTACACCCCTCGGCTAAGGTTGATGTTGAACTTCTACCTGCTTGTAGCTCCTTAAGCGAGAATGTTGTAAAGTTTCTAATGTTTTGCTTCTGATATATTTTTACTGGAATAATTTGATTTATATTCATTAAAGTAATTATTCATTTTCAGATACAGCTGATATTGTCGGCTGGGGTGCAACATCTGAATTTGGCCCGTCTTCGAGTGTTCTTCTAAAGACCACCATTGCAGTTGAAACAAAAGAAGAATGCATAGCAGAATACGGTGATGAGATCGAATTCGGGTTGATATGCTCAAAAACTAACCACGGAGATGCTTGTAACGTAGGTTTATCTATTATTATAATATTTATTATTTACCATACTCGATTTTGACTTATCAATATTTGCAATTATTAGTACCTTAGATTAAAACATATTTGATGATGTGTTTTAGGGAGATTCTGGAGGACCAATGGTTTGCAATGCTAAAGAACTTTGTGGTATCATCTCATCTGGACAAGGATGCGGCCGTGAAAACGAATCAGCATTGTATATAGATGTTTCCTATTTTGTTGACTGGATAGACGGGTCGCTAAGCACAGAAACTATGTTGGCTTTTAGAAGCTCAGATAATTACATCTACAATACTTCAATTGTTCAATAAAATGAGTCGCGTGTATGTTACTAGATTATTCCTTATTTGCTTATATAAACGAATGAGAATAAAATGTTAACTTTTTATGGATTATCCGAAAAAAGATAAATTATGTTCAATAGTGAACAGATTCAACTTGAAAAAAAAATACAGCTGGGGCATCAAAACTCTCCTATCTCCATCTCGGCAATAAGGTATAACAATTTATCATATCCAACCAATTTTCAATAATAATGGAGATCCGGCAAAAGCATTGTCAAAATTCCTCAACCCAGCACTTAATGAATTGAATAAAAATGACTTTTATGATACGAATAATCTTTCAAAGAAAATTATCCAGGAAAATTACAAAAGTACCATGAGACATGAACAATACGATTACACGCTGACCTTCACATGTCGAATGTGAACCCAAAATAAACAATTTTATGATAAATTAGAAGAACATAATCATAAATGACATGACTACAACATACGTTCGTAGAAGGTATCTCCCCACCTAAGAATCAATGTAGGTCACGCCAGGTGGAGGTGGCGCGAGGTATTGCTCTCCTCACAACTCCTCTCATGTCATTTTACCAAGAACATCAAAATCACTGATTAAGTTGCGCATTAAACAACTTTCACATATTATTGTACTTTTGTTTTTCAACGATAGATTATTTATTTAATTATATCAGAAATTTATATTCAACCTTTAAAAATATTTTTCCTTTAGTTATAAAATTCTTTTGTAGAAAATATTTATTCATTTATTTACTAGGTATAACAGAGAGGATAATTATTAATTTTTAAAAAATAAAATGAAATAAATTAAAAATCATGACAGCTCTTCGAGAAAACTTGCTCAGTCCACTCCTAGCGGCATGTTCGATATTTTCGTTAGTCCTCGATACGATGACTTATCAACACTTATTTTTCCTTTTATTAGTTATAAAATTCCTTCATGGTTATTATTTATCAATTTTTTACTACAACTTAAAATTTGAGGCGGTCATTTTCAATAAACTAAATTAAAAGTTCTTCAGAAGGAGCCATTTTGAAAAATCAAAATTAAAGACCTACCACACTGTTTTCACAAAGCTCATTTCTTTCTGGTACATTTAATTTTACATTGATAAAAGAAATGTAATCACAATCCATCGAACCGTTTAAGATAAAATAGTCTAAATATGAAAAAAAAAGTATATAAAACGGCTCTTCCGATTAATTGATTTTAGCGAAAAGTTGCCATAATACCATAGAAAAATATCTACCTTAAATACAATATTTCACTTTCATGCAACTCATCGTAATGAGCTAAGCTACACACAAACATACTCTAGAAACCTATAAATATGTATTATTGTTGAAAATCCCGCTTAGATTTTTTACGACAGCAATACGTTTCCAGAGTGGAAGTAATAAACATTAATTACACAAATTCCTATTTCTTCATTGATGAAATGGTAGACTGTCTTTCCTCCAATCTTCTCTCATTCCTGAATCAACACTCGCTCCTAAAGGTCTCTACCTTCAGATACTCTATTCCTTCCTTAATTCACCTCCAAATTATTGGGTTATTGGAGGTAAGAGGCGTTACTGAGAGACGCTTCAGACGCACACTTGAACAGGATGATTACATCTGTTTCAAGACCCTACCAAATCTTCCTTGCGCCTTGCTAAGGCGCAATTTTTTCATAATTCCTTATTAAAAGCACCAGATCCTAAGCCCAGGTGGAAAATTCCTAAAAATCCCTTCATAGTCAATTCAAAAACATATACCTCCTATGCGGTTTCTACTTATCAACTGAATTCTTACTTTCCGAATTATGTCCCAAAACTGTTCTCTTCCTCACACTCCATTCCAAAAACTTTCTTGGAACATTTCTATTTTACACCAGAGGGCCTACTTTCCTCTGGTCACAATTCCAGAACGATTGATTCGGATCTTGATTCTTGTGAAGTTAAACAATCTATGTTTTTCTGTCATCTCTCCTGCATTACTGTATGTTTACAATTTTTCATTACCAAATTCCAGTTTCCTTTCAGAATGGAAAAGTGTCATAGTCCGTCCGTTGAACCAAGTTCCGATTTCAAACTTCCATTCTCTCCAACCTTTGAAAACAACTGTAAAGACTAGTCCATTCACAGCTTAATACTTTCCTTGAGCCTCTGGTCAGGTTTCCAATTTCAGTCCTCCACCCAATCAGCTTTGTTGAAAATTTCTCAAACTTTTTTTTTAAACACCTGTTGCTAGGCTGAATGTTGTCTTTGAAGTATATCAATACCTTATAGTTCGTTCTTCTTTACACTGCTAAAATATCTAAATGTTTCTCTTTGGTGATGGGAAGGTAACTTAAGGTTTCTAAACAGGAGGTAATTACTGGTTACAAAATTGATTATTAGTAAACTGTTGATAATGCTGGCCTCTTCTTCAATAATTAGTAAACTTAATTTCCTTTCCTCTAAGGAATTTACTCATTTATACAATCCGCTAAATCTTCAAAGTATAAGATGGAGAAGAAAACCTAGATGGTTGCCAGTAGCACCTAGTAAACTTTATAGAATTCCGGTAAAAGTGAAACTTTCACCTGAAGAATCGCTAGAAATAAGGACATTGAACAATCATTACAACACTGAAATGAAATCATTAAGGTACACTAAAATCTAATCAAATTTTTGTATTGTTTTAATTGTTCCTGATTTGAGTTGAATGCACAGTACGTATGTTTAATCTATACCCAAGTGATTATGTTGACATTCCAATTTAAACTTTAGTGCCTAAAGAAGGTGCTGTCAACATTCTTTTATATTTTCCTCACAATTGAATATATTACATTTTTGTCATTATATTCGTATGTCATATGTCATTATGATAATACTCAATGGTTCTTATCTTATTGATATCTTTGATCACAGATCAGTCTTTCAGATTATTGTTCAAGTAGATTAAGTGATGTATGTTTAGGTTTTGTATTTTTTTAATTTTTTTATTTAACTGACTTACTTTTCCATTTTTCTATTTCACATTTGTCAGTATAAATATTTTAAAAGTTTCTGTTAGTACTGGTGATTTAGTTGAAGCTCGAAATACTGTTTGACTTAATGTCTATATTTCCATATACATCAAGTGCATTATGGTTTGGTATTCTATGATGTGGGATTTTATTTATGAATATGTGGCTTCTTTGGCTCTGAAAAACTGGATGGAATTAGGAGATGATAATTATATTTCCACAATTATTGTATTGGTCTGTGTTTATTTACCTTATGTATAATATGCATTTTCGTTAGATGTATTTGTTTTTCATTATCATAACAATAAAAGTATTCCATGTAAATATGTCAAACCATTTCGAGTAGTCTAGCACTGGGTTCTGAACCATTTAGGAAAAAATCTTATTTTAGATTTCCGTAAGTTGATATTTTGATTGTTCCAAAATCAGTAATTATTTAGTTGAGTACAGTACAGGTAAGCATGTTTCACAATCACTTTAGTCACACTTCTTAGTTCCTGAAATTCCGCAAATGGTCTTGGATATACCTGGATGCATTCGGCACTCCATGAACAAGTGTTTGTGAACCACGCAGAACCTGTGCGGTCCTCATGTAAATAATTACCTCATGAAATTAAAAATACAAGAACTTACTTGACGATATATCGTTAGTAGGCTATAGCTAACTCTCACTTCTTCTGGACTACCGATCTTCACTTAAGTTACGAAACAAGCGACTGATCTACAACACCCTACTGAGATAAATTTGGACATTGAAGCAGAAGTTTGGGGTTCAGCAAAACAAACCCACATAAACAAAAAACAAACAGCACAATAAAAAATGCTACATAAAACTTTCAACGCACCTTGGTACATTGCAAATAACACTATATATAACAACTTAAGCTATTTAATAAATACACTACATTTTATTCTTCAACTCATAATCACTCCAATCCTCGGGTTCTTTCTATTTCCTACTTCCTATTACCTGAAACACAGATTAAATAGGAAAAGGCCAAGAGACCTACTATATCCACATTAAAAGAATCAAGCAAATACACAGCAAAAAATATAAATACAACAAATACTCTAGATGCACTGCCGTATAGGTTCAAATTGCATAGAAAACAGAATAAATAAATAAAAATACAAATTTAGTAAATTAAATTGAGTGATATATTAATTGAACAGAGAATACCAAATAAGTTAGTGAATCTAGTATGGATGTGCAGGACCTGAAATGTTTGAAAGTTGTTCAAATGATTCTCTTTCACCTGCCCTATTTAATTTAGCAATAGTAAAAGGTTTAAATATGGGAGATAAATATCCAGATATGCTGATAATTTGGTGCAGTTAAGTGAAGACATAGATACTATATCTAAGAAAACAAAATTGATGAAAGCCAGTTAAGAACTGTGTCACAAAATAAATGGAGATAAGACAAAATACTTGGTTGATTGAACAGAATCAATGGCAATTTCATAGTTATAAATATAGAAAGGAATCTATTTCAACTTTTATAGAAATTTAGGTAGTTTGAATGTATGGTAAACAAATAAAACATAATTGAAGAGGAAATTAAGTCTATGTTAAAAGTGGAAAATGCTTATTATTTTTCAGTTGTAAAATTATTTAGCTCTCTTCTGTCTTGGAACTTAAAAATTAGAATTTATAAAACTATTTATCTTCCATATTGGTGTTTGTAGACGTGAAACATGACATTAAGCAAACATCAACGTCTTAAGGTTTTTGAAAATAAAGTGTTGCATAATTTAATTGGATAGAAGAAGGACAAGCCTGCTCAACTTTAAGCTGCATGAACTGTACTGGGTAAATATAATTGACGGTTTTAGGGTTTAGTAAAGTATGAATCTATAAAACAAAAATAAATGCTAAGCCAACTGATGAACAACCGTGATGTTGGATGGATTGTGCTAAGGTTGATTTTGCGAACTTTGTAAGGTGGTCGGTGGATGTAATGTAAATAATTTTGGGGACCCTTTTAGTGATCATTCAATCTTTTGTTATTAAAGTAACAATCAAACTCTCAACGAATCTAAGCAATAAAAAAATGTTAAAAACAAATTCAAAATGGTTTATTTGTCAATATTTAAGTGTGATTACATAAGCTCTGATTACAAGGGTTTCTCTTACGTTGTTTACCTTAAGATGTAGATTAGGCGTATCGGCATCAAACCTTTGGGTTAGTTAAGACTTTTATTATTGTTTTTATCTTCTGATTTTTCTCATATTTCTCTTCTCTCAAATCTTTCCAAACCTTTAGAGCGACTAGTTCAAACCCAGTTATCCGATTTTTTAGAACAGAATAACCTCCTAAATCCCAACCAGTCCGGTTTCCGGCCTAGTTACTCCACTCAGTCTGCCCTCATCAAAATTTCCCAAGATCTTCATACAGCCATGGATCAGCAGAAACTCACCATCCTTATTCTCCTTGACTTCTCCAAAGCCTTTGAATCAGTAGACCACAAAATTCTCCTAACCAAGCTTAAAAATATTTCCTTTTCAACTGGTACCCTTAATTGGTTCCAATCCTTCCTTTCCGGCCGCTCCCAGTATGTTGTAGTCCCCAACAAACTCCCATCAGAATCTTTACCCTTGTCCAGAGGTGTCCCACAAGGCTCCTCTTTATCTCCCACCCTTTTTTCCATCTACATCAATGACCTTTCATCCTCTATCCTACACTGTAAATACCATCTGTACGCCGATGACGTCCAGATTTACCTCTCCTTCAATCCAACCGAATCCTCTGACGCCATCCAAAAATTGCAGGAAGATATAAACGCAATATGTGCCTGGGCTAATCACAATAGGATTACTCTAAATGCCAAGAAGACGAAAGCCATCCTGACCGGATCTCCCTCACTCCTCAAATCCTTACAGACACTCCCCAATATTTTCCTGAACAACTCACCTATCTCATTCCATACTTCCGTAAAAAAACCTTGGTGTTACATTCGATCAAACCCTCTCCTGGAAACCACACATCTCCCAAATTTCCCGTTGTACTATCTCTACCCTGAAACAGTTTAACTGTCTCCGCTATCTCCTTCCATATTAATCTCGCCAACTCCTGCTTTCCTCCCTTGTGTTCCCTCACTTCGACTATGTCTGTCTGGTGTACGGCGGACTCTCGGGAGAATTCGAGGCCAAACTAAAACGCCTAATGAACTGCACAATACGTTATGTTTTCGGAATCTCAAGAGATACGCATATAACCCAATATTAACCCAAGTTGAAGTGGCTCTATCCATCCAACTGCCGTCTGTACTTCCTTGCTACCTTTCTATACCAAGTCATCAGAACTTGCCCTTCCTATATTTTTCACAGCCTACAATTCAAATATTCCATTCAATTCCGTCCCACTAGATCTCGTACCTCCAACCTCTATCCACCTCCCCACCGAACTGCAGTGTTGGCAAATCCTTTATAATTCAAGCTGTCTCCTTCTGAAATACCATCCCTCCCGATATCCGACATGTACAATCAGTTTCCTCATTTAAATCTCTCCTTTTTAACCACTTATTCCTTTCCCAATCCGATTGATCATGAAATGTAGATAAGAGAACTTTTTAAAGTTCCCCCAGAACTGATTTTCTTTATTTATGCTATTTTATTTTCCCATGTTTGTATTATACATATCAGTATGTTTTTACTGTAATTGTTTTATTTTTTGTTTTATTCTTTTTCTAAAATTTTAATCTTAATAAGAATTGTAAATAATTAATTTTATGTATGGCCACACAGACATTTATTCTGTATCTGTAATTTGTCCTACAGGGACAACAGTCCCAGGATAGTAAAAAAATATTTTCATTTCATTTCATATTTGCAGTTGAGTAACTGAGGTGGGAGACATGTGCAGCTACCTTCACATTTTAAAAGTTAAAAAAAAATGTGTAATGTCTGTCATGTGTTTTTCTTCTTTTCACACCTCCTTAGTGCCATTAGTATGGAGGAATAATATATTCCTCTACGCCGTGTGTGAAATAACACAAAATTAATAATATAAAATTATAAATAATAGCTCATTAGAAAGAGGATGAAATGCAGGTCATTTCCCTTGATTACAGTATGCAGGGCCAATTTTTAGTTTCTGAGATATTGTAATCTATAACTTCCATAACATTCGTTATTTGGTTTTCGACACTATTTTTTCCTTTTTGTCAATCTAACACGGCGTCGCGTTAAGAAACAATGTTGAATAATAGCATATTACAGAGCGGATGAAATGCTGAACGATTCTCTGGCTAACAGTATGCAGATCCGATTGTTTATTAGTTTCTGAGATATGTCAATCCATATCTTCAATAAAACTCGTTATTATTTGTTTTTCAACTTAATTTTTTCCTTTTTCGCCTCTCTAACATTGCTTCGCGTTAAGATACAATTGTGAATAATGACTCATTACAAAGAGGATGAAATGATGAACATTTTGCTTGCTAACAATATGCACGTTCGATTTTTAGTTTTTGAGATATTTTAATCCTTATACAAAAACACTTCAATTAATTGACTCAAGCCGACTTTACCCAAACGTCACACACCGGAAATCTGACGACTCAATCTAATTCACTCTCCCCAAAAAAAGTGTAAAATGTGCCTAAGGAAGTTTTCACTTCAATAATTAAAAATTGTATTTATAATTTGTTGTGTCTAAAAAAACTGACTGTTGAGCCTCTCCTAGCACATTGAGAGGTATTTCCAAACTATCCGTTTATTATAACTAATTTTATTAAATTATTTTCTTATGTTATAACCTGACTAATTGAAAATATTAGTTCTTTTAATATTTCTTTTTGTCATTAAATAACTATAATTTTACTTTATAATATGATTAAGTGATTAGTAATTTTCAGGATATACTTTGCTCAAAAACAACAGGAGTTATTGACTGGTGATGATGTAATAGCTGAACAAAAAAAGGAACAGGAAGAAGATCTTCTTGAATGTTTGCGATTGAATGAAGAATGGAACAAAAGAGTTGCTCTTCTTAGGGAGGAAAGGTTAGCTAAAGCAAAGGAAGAAGAATTAGAACGAGTTACGAGGGTAATTGAAGAACATAAATTAAAGGCCCAAAAAAGGAAAGAGCAACTTGAAGCATTGGTTCGAAAAGAAAAAGTATGCATTGAAATAATTTATTTTATTTTAGTTATTTCTTAAAATTTGGTTTGTTTTGAAATTAAAAAGATAAAGTAAATTTATGATTGTACATTTTTGTACTTTCACATATCTATATTATTTAATTGGTTGCTGTTGAATTTGGCATACACACACACTCCTTGGTGCTACAGACTGATATGGTCCTTGGCCTCCTCAATAAGTCTTCTCCAGGTATTCGATCATATGCTGTCGTTTGGCAGTTGTTGTTAGTTGCAGGCATCTCTGGCATCAATGACCTCCCAACTAAGGCGGGATCTCCCTCTTCCTCTCACCCGGTGGAGTCTCCCATCCAGTAGTTTTGTTACTGCAGCATGCGTGCAACATGGCCAGCCCGCTGCACTCTTTCCAATCGAATAATCCTTATTATGTTAGCCTCGCCATAAAGTTCATAAATTTCTTTTGTTAGTCCTCCACCTCCAGTCCTCTCCAAATCTTCCTAGTCCAAATATTGGATGAAGAATTTTTCTTTCGGATATAAAAATTTCCCATTCCTCATTACTTGTAAAGGTCCAATTCTCTGATCCATAAGTTAGGACAGGCATTATAAGAGCTTTTTATATGATGCATTAAGTACGGCGCCTGAGGTAGGAACTTCTCAGGTGCTTGCTTTCCGAGATTAAAATAGCATCTGTTGGCTTTAATGAGTTGCTGACTAGTTTAATTTGGCATAATTTTTGAACAAAATTGAAGAACTGGAATGTATAAAAGTGGAAAATAAAAAAAAGTTAAAATTTAATTTCTGTTAAACCGTTAACAGTTGGATGATGGTTGATAAAGTCTTTTTTTGTTGCACTCAAGGTGTAGATTTTGTCTGGCCTCTATCTGTATATTGGATAATTTATTAGTGTCTCATCCTTTGAAATGTCCTGACAGTCCTGTAGATCTGGAACCTGGGTTGAAACATTGACATTCACTAAAGGAAATAATTTCTGCTAATAAGGATAATTATTTTTTGGCTCCATTGAGTACACTCCTCCCACACATTCCATTTATTGGGAATATTTATAATTTTTTAAATTTAAATTCAACCATATCCAAACAATCCTCACTTTTTATCCCTAGTTTTTCTATTTTGTTCTTAATATATTGCAGACATCCCTTTATATTCTTGAGCCACTTTATCAAAAATTTGCGTATTTATTCTAGACATAGAGGGATTTATGAAGGGAAAAAATGAATGTCTGCAACCATAGAATCAGGATGGATAAAAATAAAATATTTAGTTTCGGGGGGTGCAACAATAATTTTGTTTACGTTTTTTGGTACCTTTTGACTTAATTAAATAACAGCAAAACCAAAATGCTTTTGCAACTCTTCAACGTCAGTATTACACATCACCTCCTTTAAAGTGGTCTAGTATGAAAGATCTTATGTATCTAAAACATAGATTATTACCCAAAATATAATAAGTATTTTACGAAATATGAATTACTGCAGTTTTACTAAGATTATTTGCATTAGCACTATTATGATTTACGAACATATTGGTGACAATGGAATATGTGAACAATATTCCAATAGGTGAGAATGATTTTTGAAAAATCATTCATATTCTGATATTTTATTTTCAACTATTTTATAAAAAAAACATATTTGTATAATTTTTATGTATCTATGTCTACTTTTCTAAGTATATATATATATATATATATATATATATATATATATATATATATATATATATATACATTTAAATCTTTTATATATACATATACAGATCTACACCACTAAAAGGTTTCTACTGATCCCGTCATATATTATTGATTTATAAAATTATTTGTTAGTGAATTATTTGATTAATGAAATTGTAAGTAAAGTTTTTAATTGTTCCTATATTTTTACGTAAGTCGATATTTATGAACAAATAATTTTCTATTTCTAGGAACTATCAAAAACTTATATTACAACTGAAAATATAGATGAAGCTATTGAAAAAGCTTTATCAGTTGAAAAGGACTATGATTTCTCAATTGATCTTGATGGTAATATTTATCGTGGAAGAACTACTGAGGCTATTACTGCTGAAAACCAAGTTTATAAAAGAGTTGAAGAAGTTTCAGTTTAATATGTTTCATGTAATTATTTGTTAGCTGTGTTTAATTTCATTAAAGTTTTTAAAATGTTGGTGTTAGTTCTATAATGCTTACCTCATTTAACAAAATACAGAATAATTATAAGTCCCCAAAAAGGATGGAGTGAGAAAACATTCTATTCACCTAACAAACTGTTGAACAATAAATGACTTGTTTGTATTTTCAATTGTGTACCCAAATCCTAAAACAGTGTGAAAATCATCTGTTTTGTTCAATTTATAGTATTAATACATCATAATCTTATCAAAGGTTGTGTTAACCTTCTGAATAAAAATAATAGATAACTAAAATGCAACATTCAAGGTGAAATCCCAGATTAAAATTTTCAATTAACGACAGCAATACATAATCCAATATTAGGATAAGTTACTATTATTCTAGATCTAGATGAAAGTGGAATTTAAACAATAACAAGAACTAACATTGGCTGTTTGTGCAAAGATAGTTCCTAATTCTCTCGTTTTGACGAGTGGTGGGAGCAGATCAGACGATCTAAAAGATAAAATTTAATCCATACCACGTCACGGTATGTTTGCGGCATTCCGGACCAAATATCCAGGGAGACAACGCCTGCACTTGAGGGCTCTCAGGTAACCAATGTCTTAAGCCACCATAAAAATAGTAAGGTGTTTTAGCACAATTCATATAACCTACCAATTCATTAAAATACAGTCCATTGCACAAATAAGTAGAATGTTGACTAATTTGGACTCATGAAAGTTATTTGCCTTGCCTTCATTAAAATTAGGAAAGTTGCCTAAACATTGGCTTAGTACTCTTTTCTATTATTAAAGAATGAAAGGTTAAAGGAAAAAGCATGAAGCTCATGGATGAAATATCAAATTAGTTTTCTATCTTCATAAAATGGTTTCAATAATTAAAAAAAATGTTTGCCTGGATTATTCTTAAATTTCTTAATTGGTCAATTAGCTCACTTACAAGGAATGAGATACTGTTGAAGTATTTTGAAAAAATAAATGGAATTATTAAAACTGTATAGTTATATTTAAACAAACCAAAATAATGTGTTTTAGATATCTACATTATATTCACAGTAATATATGTACATACAGAATTATAATTTAGATGAATCATTTTGAATCACACATAACAAGCAACCATTGTTGGTTTGTCATCAATAACTTTTTTTCTACAGTTTTTAAAGTCCTTTTTTTTATGAGAGCATAACCTTTTTTTTCTATAACTGTACAAATTTTTAGTAACAATTGTTGTTTTTCAATATTGATTTTTTTAAGACTTTTTTTGGAGAGTTTAAGTTATTTCGATTGGTTTAATGAATGAAAAATTTAGAATTATTTATCTTCCTCATGTTTTTTTCGATAACCTTTTTTTTCTATAACTGTACAATTTTTTTAGCAACAATTTTTGTTTTTCAATATTGATTTTTTTAAGACTTTTTTTGGGCAGTTTAAGTTATTTCGATTGGTTTAATGAATGAAAAATTCAGAATTATTTATCTTCCTCGTGTTTTTCATTCCTAAATTGTAATTTTAAAGATGTGTTTATACATTTCACAAATTATGGGAAACACAATTATTTAACTTAACTAACAGCAGCATTATTTCTTAACCAAAATATTTATTTTATTCCTCTTGATATTGGCAGCAGATGAAAAATATTTAATTCAAGAAACAAAAATATTAGCATAGTGGAATAACCATGTATATATTTGCTTGTCCCATAGTTTGTAAAATATCTAAATATACCTTGATCTTTCAATATAGTAAAATAAAACTGTAAATATTTATACACATGTATAATGCATGAATTTATATTTACATATTATTTAATTTAGAACAAAAATGTTCAATTTAATGCAACAAAATTCAAAATCGTGATTTAGGCCTAATAATTTAATTGGAGTGACATTTTCCTTTTGGACATACTAATCGCTGATTAACTAAATTAACATTAGTGGTAAAGTATGAACTATCTCATTTGTGTGTCAATCTTATATATCTCAAAATCATATATATATATGTGTGTGTGTATGTACATAAATAAATAATCCGTCCATCTGCGGTCTTACATACACCATTTGCGGGTTATCTCCGAGACTGTTGGACTGATTGTTTTGAGATTTGGTATCAATGTCAAAAGGCACTGGAGTATGATTCTGAGTCTCAACATTACTATAAGATGGCGGCCGAAAAACCTGTGTTGGCATAGACCACAGGCGGATCTATGGAGGAGGAGGAAAGCTTTCGGGCTAAAGCCCCCCCCCAAAACGGTAAAATATAACCATGTTTTATAGAAAAATATATTAAAAATTATCTCTTAAAGTATTATTGTTCGTGTAAGTACATTTAATAAGACTTAAAGAATCACATAAACACCATGTCATATACGTGGTTAGTTTCTTTTTTTTTTCAAATTAACTATCGTTATATATATAAGAAAAACAAATGTTTCGGGCTGAAGACTCCCCCTCCAAAAAAAAAAATCCTGGATCCGCTAATGGTATAGACTATAGCGCCGATGCGGATGTAACAATTTTAATGGAACTTGGCTGTAGCCTTCTTCTTTACACCATTTAAATTTATGTATATAATATATTTCCCCAAAAAGGAGCTGAGAAAAAAGTTGCGAGGAATGAAAAATTCGATTTGCGAATGACTTTTCTTGTGCTTCTTTGAAAATTAACGGAATATCCCTAAAAACAAGAAAGAACCAATGAAATCGGATGATTTGGTGCAGAGATGTCGTTCGAAATATTTAGTACATGTTATTATACTGCAAATGTGATTACTTTTTATTTGATTTTTGAATAGTGGAATGCTTCACATCAACTGAAGCAATCGAGATTGTATATATTTCTTATAAAAAATTTGAAGAAGAAATATTCTGAAGCAGGCCAATATGAGCAAACATCTATAATTTATTTTCTTAGAAGTGGTAAGGAAAGTAGTATACATTTGATATGTAATTGTTTGGAAATAATAAACCATTGTGTCATAATTTGCAGTGTTCTTTTTTTACACTTTCGAGTTTTTCCTTATGTGTTCGTCTCTACTTGAAAAATACGACTAATTAATGTGGTTTAGAAATTTATAACGAAATTAAGCCATAGTACAGAAGTTCGAATTTATAGGGAAAAATTATTATAAATAAAAATTGTCGTGCCGAAGATCACTATTTAAGTCCAGATGAAACCACTATTAATGTCAGTTGGGGAATAGAGAGGCATCAATAAAGGGATAAAGGATATAAATATACAGGATTATCATTAAAGAAGAACTAGTTATAGATGATCTCCTGAAATGAGGTTGTGAGAATAACAATGAAGGCAGTGTAAGTTCAAAATAATGGAAGTGTTGTTCGCTGAGTTTTCATCGGAAATACACGTTTTGAGGTCCACTGAGTCTAAATAATCAAGTCAAGCAAAGTGGTCTGTGTGAATGTGAACAGCTCAGCTCAAAAACAAAAAGTCGTACGAGACTTAAATTGCGTATTGAAGGTCTTTATATAGTTCTGATGTGACAGCAACTTTTTCGGCCAGCCGGCACTGCCACTTTATATCAACGGTGAAACACATTTTTGCAAATTTCTCAAAAACGGCCCTAACGATTTTGATTAAACTCGGTATATCATTGTATAATTAAGTGGTCTTTAATATCTTTTAGGTATATTCCCATTGATGTCACTTTACAGAGCTTAAATGTCCAATATTCATATACTCCTTCTAATGTACCTTTAATATGGATTTTTTTAAAAAAATGAACTCTCTTTTATTGAAAGTAACTATAAAAAATGACTAAAAATGAAGTTTGAAAGAATATTATAATTTGAAACTGGAGATAATAAGAAAAATAGTTATCTAGGTTGAAAATGCCTCTCCTGAAATAACAGCCGGAATGTATACGTATAATATGTCGTAGGGAAGCGGAGAATTCTAGAAAAAAAATAATATTAAATAAATAAAGCTGTAGAAGTTAACGGAGAGTGACGAAAACAATATAAATAATAATTTCAGAAAACTAATATTATTTAAAGTAAATCACATGTTTCCAAGGAAATTAAATGAAATTTTCTTACTAAATATAAACTTTTAACTTTTCTAAGTTTGAAAAAAAAGTATGTAATATCCACCTAATCAAGCCATTGTCATTTTTTCAAACACTATTTTATTGTACTTGTTTGAAAGAAGAAGTGAAATATAAAAATATTTCATGGCCACGTTTATAACCTTCAATATATTTACTGTAGTTAAATAACTGAAGATCTGATATTATATTTAAATCATTAGGTATCTATTGGCGGTTTATTTTAAAAAAAATTATCAAGTAACCTTTTAGAAAATTAAATTATAGAATAATTTGATGAATTTTACCTTTGTGAAATCACAACATTATCCACTTACAATTAATGTGACAACTTTTGACGTATCCATAGCAAGGTAATGAAAATCTCGTAATTTTGTTTCAGTAAACTTTATAATAGAAGATATCAGTTCAATAACTAATAGTTCTACAATCCAAAATCATTTATAAGTTAAATATATAGATGTATTTTCAAATCTCTCTAGGCATACATGAGCGTTTCAGTTAGCAGATAACTAACTCCAATTTCAACATTGTCTATTATTAATTATGTGATGTTTCTATTGGCAACATTTATACCTTTATACACAGATCTATATTTAAACACTGCAGTCACCTACTCTGGAATCAACTTAGTCAATGTCTGTTCAGATATATCACTAAAATGAAATTACTAAAAAATGTTGAAATCGGAATTAGTCATTCTGTCAACTGAAAGGCCCAGAGGCTGAATTTGTGTGGTTTATAAAAGCAGATGGAGAAACTAGATTTTTATTGCCTACCATCGATATAATAAATAGACTTTTTTAATATTAATGGTCTTAATGATATGTTATATGTAAGCTTTAAGGTTTAGCTCCATTTAAAACGCACTTAAAAAATCTTAATAGCCCAATATTGCCAGAAAATAATTTCTATTCAAAGTAGAGCGGTAAGTGAAAGTTGTGTGTTGCGCGCACCAGATTTTTTACTTTCACTTACGTATATATGTAAGGGTAATTATTGCGATCGTGAAAATTTTCGAATCTCAGTTTTCAACGGAAATAGATGTTTTGAGGTCCCCTGAGTTCAAATAACCAAGTGTCGCAAAATGGTCTAAATGTGTGTGTGTTAACAGTCTAGCTCATAAACGAAAAGTAGTACGAAACTGATATTAAGTATTTAAGGTTTGTATATGGGCTGGATGTGACAGCAACTTTTTCGTTAAAATCGACTTACCGGAAGTGCCACTTTATATGAACGCTGAAACACATTTTTACAATTTTCTCAAAAACGACTCAAACGATTTTGATCAAACTCGGTGTATCATTGTATAATTAAGTGGTCTTTAATATCATTTAGGTCTTATCCCCGTTGATGTCACTTTACAGTGCTTAAATGCCCAATGTTCATGTATGTCTTCCTCTAAAGTACCTTTAATATGGTTTATTTTAAAAAGTTAACCATTTCGCATTATTCAGAGTTACGAAAAAATGCTACATATAACTTTTGAAAGAATTTGATAAATTAATAAAGGAGAAAAAAAAAATGCAGAAAAACCTGCGTACCTACAGACTGTAGCGCCTAAACGAATGTACCGATTTCAATGAAACTTCGCTAAAGTCATTTTCTCCATACCCTTTAAATTTATCTATATAACATACTTCAACGAAAAGAAGCTGGAAAAAAAGTTACGAGGGATGTTAATATTAAATTTCGAATAACTCAAAAACTATACGCTTTTTTGTGGATATTGTATATGTTTTTTTTAAAAGTGTATGGAATTTCCTAAAAAAAAACAAACAAAAAATCGTTAAATCGGACGATTAGGAGGAAAGATATGGTCTCTAGTTTTTTTCCCTGAAGAGGTGAAAATTTGGATAAATTAAAAATATATTTTTTTAATTGTTGAGACTAAAAGAACCTTTTTTCTACCGATATTTAATAAAGTGTCTTTCCTAGGAACATCTTTCATAAGAAAGTAGTACCTATATTTTATTCTCAGTTCTATATTTCAACACTGCAATCACCATCTTTTGAATCAACTTACTCATTGTGTGCATAGATAACTATTTCATCTAAAAATATCACTAAAATGACATCACTCAAAAATGTTGAAATTGGAGTTAGTCATTCTGTGGTTTCTAAAAGCAGATAGAGTGAATAGATTTTTATTGCCTGTCGTCGATATATTAAATAGACATTTTGTAATTATAATGGTCTTAATGACTTGTTATCTGTAAGCTTTAGCTCCGTTTAAAATGCACTTCAAAAATTTTTATAATAGCCCAGCATTGCCAGAAAATAATTTCTATTCAAAGTAGATCGGTAAGTGAAAGTTGTGTGTTGCGCACACCACATTTTTTATTATAATTCATTTTACCATATAGTAAAATGCAAGTTTAAAATAAAACAAATTGGCATGGATAAGACAGGTCATTTTATTTTTGTAAATATAGATAAATTAGATTGTTAAATAAAAGAAAAAAGATTAAAAAAAAAAAAAAAAAATTGTACTTAAAGGTTTCTGAAGGTGTCTTAACACAGACCTGCATTTTAAAAATTATTTCCAAGTGTTTTTAATACAATAGTTCAAGTTTGTTTTGTTTATTGGTTTACTGATTGGTATACAAGGTGCTTAAGGTGCCAGATGCATGCATCCTATAAACATACATATACATATAAACATTTTGTAACTACTTGTAGGCTGATTATATCTGTTAAAATCAATAAGTAAAATAAACAGTTAAAAGAAATAAATTCTTTGGAGGGTATCGGAGCTTTTATAAAACAGCAGCATTTGAAAAAATTCGATTTTAAAACACTTTATTGTTAACAAAACAGGAAAAAGATTCGAAGTAAAACAGGTTTTATACATTATTATATTTTTTTCTAGGTAAGCAGAATGACAATAAAAAATTCGTAAAGCTTCAAGAAAAAAATATGAACCACCAACTCAAACCAAGTAATTTTACAAAGAGTAGGATGATTGATTATTCATATTTTAAACTCGCGTACTAAACTAAACAGTGATAATAGATAAAAACAGGCGCATGCATCTTTGATGTGAAAGCCCTTTCATCCAGTTGCAAGATGTACATACATTCTGCATCCAGGATGCATTCATCATGGGTGTGAAAGGGGCTTTAGTCATACCATGACTACTATCCAAAATCCAATACGGCTATCCATAGGAAAATCTAAAATCCTATTTTTTCCAGGCAGTTTTATTTATATATGATTATTTACTGCTGTTATGGTTTGTGATTTAAAGAGTCGTTTACAAAAGAATATGTAGTTCCTTTTGAAGATTGACTGAATTTTCGAAAATTTTATTTTCCGTATAGATCAATCTATTTTAATTCCATTAGGGCTATGGTAATTAATTTATTGGTCTACTTCAAACAGGTAATCTACTTTTGAGGTATTCGCTATCAATTTATAAAACATATTTGCTCGCATTTAATAGGAAATCTGAAGATAGAAGATCTTACAGATAAAGAGAGCCTTTCAAGCAGTTGGAAATAAAAAAAAAAAAAAATAAATAGATTCCTTTGTAGCCTCAACAAATTAACAGTTTTCCGCCTGTGATTTTTAGATTAGTTGTAAATGTTTCTTTCTTCGAATACTTTCTGTGATTCACTTGAGAATCCCCACCCAGATAACCTCAGATTATATATACGTATAGCTCATGAAAGGTAATATTCAGTGCAGGAGTCTGCTATACAAAGAAATGACTCAATCGCTCTTGTGTTTTGTTGTCTTGCTCGTCACAGCGCATTTAGTAAGTAAACAAAATCATGTTTTATTGGTTTATAGAAAAATAAATGAAATTTGTTGAAAAAAATAATAAAATAAAGAAGAAAAATTGAGGATGTGGAAAATGTCAATCATAGACATTTTCGTAGCGTTTTGTTTAATGGTATAACTAATACCGGATTCATCTATCTTTATAATATAATACAAAAGTTTTTCGCCGTAACGATTCCTTTTCCGGCTGCAGGAGCGATGGATTTTGATGAATGAGGTATCAAAGGAATGGGTATTAAATGGAGCAGTGACGGATCTTAGTTGCAACCACCCGAATCATCAGGAAAAAAAAATCATGAATGAAAAGAAACTTTCTTTTGCGAATATCTTAAAAAATATACATTTTTCTTGATTAGACCCAGGATTATTTGAAAATTTATCAAATTCTCTACAAATATAAATAAATAAATGCGAAAATGGAACCATTATTGACAAAGATGTGTCCAAAAAATTTGTAAACATAATAATTTCTTCCTCTTCGAAGATACTGCATTTGCTATTCCACTCCTTTTTTTCCCTATCTGATATTTAATTTATTATTTCTTAAAGGCTTGTTCGCACATTTTTTATTTTTTAATAATTTAAAAAATCCATTGTTCGAGGTCTTTTTTAATGTGAAAAGTAATATTCAGCATTTATAAATAGACCCTGGAAAAGTAATTTGTACAAATATTTTGTTCTTTTATGTTAAATGAAATATTGTATTCGACTAAGAAAAAACGTAATTAATTCATTCCTTGCATAATACATAAGATATACTTATTTCTATATTATTTTACTTTTCTTTCACTAAACAATATATTTTGCAAATTATTCGCAGGGATCAACTAATTTATGTAAATTCTTTAAAAACATAAATTGATATCTTTATGAAATCCATCTTGCTAAATCTTTTATTATTGAGCTCATTTCTAATAATTTAATTAATTTTATGTATGGAAAATTCTTTCACCAATTGAATTAAATTTTATGTTAATTGTTTGATATCATATTTCTAGCTTTAACTTACTTTGTTTCTAATGGTTAAATTATTTTCATTGCCCAATAATGAATATATGCATCGAAGTATTCCAAATGTCGAAAATATTCGTTTTATATACATTCTATTAAACATTCTATTTTTTTTGTTTTTATTTATTTGTAAGGTTTAGCCCATTTGTTGATGTTAAGAGGACAATAACAGGAAAGAAAATTCTCAACAAAAATAACTTTATTGTTTACCATCCAACTAAAAAAAATATTAAAATTTAAGTGTCAAAATTATAACATATAACAGTTATGTTAATATAGTAGCAATATCTAAATATTTAATTTCAATGTACAATAAGAATAAAATATTTAATCTTTTTATTTGATTATTCATTCTAGTTTTCTAGATATATATTTAGATAATTTAATAATTATTTGATTTGTTTTCACTCAACAATTAATTTTCTTTTAGATCGTTTCATTTCAAGTACTTGTTGTATTTTCTAATTCCTTTTTCTAGGTAGGCCCAAAATTTTTCAATTCTATTTGAGTGATTAGGTGGGCTTTCAAAAATTTTCAAAAGGTCAATCATATGGTAGGCAAGTCCCACTAGATAACGCTTTAATTTTATGACAACTTTTTTTTTTTTAAGTTTCTTTTGGAAATGCTAATTTACTAGAATCTATTAATAATTATGTTTGTTTAGCGTAACTCCACCCGATATATGTATTCGGTTTTTAAATATTTTTGGTTTATTATTTTCAGTTATGAACCATTGTAATTTACCGAAAAATTCAAAAACTTAACTCCACCTAAAAATTTGAATTTTACGTTTCAGGATACGCATAACTTTGAAATCGAATAAAAAAAAATTTCTGTCCGCCGCACAGTAAGGCGAATAATGGAAAACTGTCATTGTGTTTAATTAAATAAAAATATAATCATTTCTAAAACTTGTTTTACTTAGAGTCTTTTTTCTTTTCTGTTAACAAAAATAGGTGTTTTTAAATAAAATTTTTACAAATACTGCAGTTAAAAAAAATTCTGATATCTTCCGAAAAATTAATTACTTACAAATTTTTAGCAGTCTTTGCTTAAGATAAACTGGTATTAATTTAAACCGCCATGGTCCATCTGACGGTAGTTAAAATATTAGTCTGTGGGCCAGACCCCCTTACCGTGCACCCTCCCCCACATCCCTATAAATTGCATATCGTTGTGTTCCTTGTAACAATTTATTAAAAAAAAGCCAATGTTCCCACAAAAAAAGTGAACGCACTGCCCCAAAATGGCGTCCAAAGATGGCGGATTGACGACTTTGACTTTAGTTAGTTTTTTGGTCACTGAGAATCAGCATTAAGCTTAATTTCCTCATATTTGATCTTTTATTAAAGCTGAATAGATATAGAATAATAAAACATGAAGAAATATTAAAAAATAATTGGCTAAGGCTATGAAAAACACCAGTAAAGTCAATTTTTTTAACAAAAAAATTTTCAAGTTACAAATCAAGCGTCGTTTGTAATTAAACGGCTTGCAATAACGCAAAACGTACTTAAATAAACCATCTGGAGAATATATTTCTCTTTCTGAAACGCTGATTATTTTTTACAAATGTTTAAGTAGTTCCGTAAAAAATGCACTTATGCGGCAGAAAAGCGGTACTGGCGTGGGTGCCTACAGGCCTCTACCACACCATTCAGTGCCCATAAATGGCTTAGTTATAGTGATATAATAACATTTTTGGTACATTATATTGGTTTTATTAACGAACAAATAATAATGCAATAATTTAATAGTAAAAAAAAAAAATTAAAAAAAAAAAAAAAGTATTATTATTTTTTTAAATTTTAACCTCCTTTATTCTATACGTAGGTCGTTTAAGAATACCTCAATTGTAAAAATGATATAATTATAATAATAAAACTTAATTAAAAAATATTTTGCTAAATATCTTGATTTTTTTTTTTATTTAACGTTTGCAGTTTAACACTGTGTTTTGAATATTTACTGATTCTTAGAAGTAATTAAAATTTTTATATACTTCCCAGGAAATGAGTCATATTCATACCTTTTTTATAAACTAAAATAATATATACATAATCTGAACTATATATAATGAATAGCTACCGGGTTGTTTGGTAAAACTCATATATCACTAATTAAAAAATTAATTTTTATTTCCTTTATTTAGTGCAGAAGTTGGACTATATCATAAATAAATAGGAAATTTTAATTTTGAATGAATTATTCTCTATGCACAAAGAAAGATATAAAGGGTGACCCTATAAGTTCTTCTATAAACCAAAACTGATTGTTTGGATTTGATCTCAAAATGAGGAAAAACGTAAACGAGAAAATTGGAAAAATACATTAAGCGAACGAGAAAGGAAGTGGCAAAACCTCGGAATAGATAAAAAGGACCAGTTATATCCATTATATAGCTAAATGAATGTATAGTAGATAGATGAACAGAATATTTCAAGATGCTGCTAAAACGGGATCAATTGCAGTTTGGATGATATTAAGTGGACGATGTAGGTTTATTATGGTGAAAACAACTTTATTTTCGATTGCTGAAGGTGCACATCGGGACTATATTATCTTTGAAGATGAATATAGAGATGTATATCGAGAAAGTTATAGCTCATAGCTTTCCTTCTGTTTAATGGATTTTCAAAAGATTTTTTAAGGTATCTTATATTAGTTGTAGCTCGTTATTCTTGAATTGTTCGGAATTTGTACCATATCATAAAAAAATAGGAAATTTTAATATTGAATGTATTATTCTCTCTGCACAAAGAAAGATGGAAAGGGCGAAACCGAACTGCTTTGACAGTTTTGCGTGTACATAGCAACAAGCATATTAGAAAATAATATGAAAAGACTGTGGTTTTTACCTTTACAAGAAAGGAGATACTAGGAAATGTAATACCCATCAAGACTCATTCCTGTTTAGTGTACCAAACAAATTATACACAAGAATCGTAGAAGCTGGAATAAGAAATATTGTCGATTGCCAGAGTGATATGGATTGAGAAACTCAAGTTGCACATTGGAAGAGAAGTTGAAAATTGGGACTGTCTTCACTTTAAGGCAGGTTATAGAGAAGTCCACATAAAAAGAAAAATAGCTCTCTATCTGCTCAGTGCCTCACACTTTGGATTATGCTAATATCTAACTGTCTTTCAGAAAAACTCGTTTTCCTTTTAGATCGCTTAAAAAATCTTTTGAAAATCCACTAAACAGAAGGAAAGCTATGAGCTATAACTTTCTCGATATACCTCTCTACATCCTGCTTCAAAGTTAATATAGTCCCGATGTGCACCTTCAGCAATCGAAAATAAAGTGGTTTTCACCATAATAAATCTACATCGTCCACTTAATATCATCCAAACTGCAATTGATCCCGTTTTAGCAGCATCTTGAAATATTCTGTTCATCTATCTACTATACATTCATTTAGCTATATAATGTATACTGGTCCTTTTTATCTATTCCGAGGTTTTGGCACTTCCTTTCTCGTTCGCTTAATGTATTTTTCCAATTTTCTCGTTTAAGTTCATGTTTTTCCTCATTTTGAGATCAAATCCAAACAATCAGTTTTGGTTGTTATGAATTATGAGTTATGAATATGACTCATTTCCTGGGAAGTATATAAAAATTTTAATTACTTCTAAGAATCAGTAAATATTCAAAACACAGTGTTAAACTGCAAACGTTAAATAAAAAAAAAAATCAAGATATTTAGCAAAATATTTTTTAATTAAGTTTTATTATTATAATTATATCATTTTTACAATTGAGGTATTCTTAAACGACCTACGTATAGAATAAAGGAGGTTAAAATTTAAAAAAATAATAATACATTTTTTTTTAATTTTAATTTTTTTTTTTTTTACTATTAAATTATTGCATTATTATTTGTTCGTTAATAAAACCAATATAATGTACCAAAAATGTTATTATATCACTATAACTAAGCCATTTATGGGCACTGAATGGTGTGGTAGAGGCCTGTAGGCACCCACGCCAGTACCGCTTTTCTGCCGCATAAGTGCATTTTTTACGGAACTACTTAAACATTTGTAAAAAATAATCAGCGTTTCAGAAATAGAAATATATTCTCCAGATGGTTTATTTAAGCACGTTTTGCGTTATTGTAAGCCGTTTAATTACAAACGACGCTTGATTTGTAACTTGAAAATTTTTTTGTTAAAAAAATTGACTTTACTGGTGTTTTTCATAGCCTTAGCCAATTATTTTTTAATATTTCTTCATGTTTTATTATTCTATAACTATTCAGCTTTAATAAAAGACCAAATATTTAAAATTATGTTTGTAGGCATCTAGGTTGGAACAATTTCTAGGTATGTAATAATATTCCCTATAAATAGACATGCTCTCAAATTTGGGTTTTAAGAATTGTATTGAACATTCAGAAAATAAGGTTGTGTAGTTATTTGTTTCGAAAAATGTCTTAAACCATAACAATTAAAAAAAAATTACATTAGATATTAAATCTTCGTTTTCATTGTTTTAAAATTTTAAATTTTGTCGTTATAATTTCATAACCGTAAATTGAATCTGAGAATATTTGGTCAGAATTTTGATTCTATGTTCGTGTTCCTTGGCCTTGAAAATATAAGTGTATTCATTTTCAATAAAATAATAAAATAATAAAAAAATAAAATAAAAAATCAAGAAGTACACAATGACATCTTAAAGTTGAGTTTATAGTTGTAAGCTTCCCTGTAACGACGTAACTTGATTCTTGAGCAACTTATTCTAAATTAGTATAGTAAAAACCAAACCCAAGTAATAAAAACTACAAACCACCTAGAATACAATGGGCCTGCTTCAGATTGAGTGTTATCTATGAGATCATAAGTTAATCCGATATAAGTTACGAGTTCCACGCCCATGAAAACCCGTCTTTCGTACACCGTCCGCCAACTAAATTTATATGCAGAATTTAAACCTATTATCTAGTAGCCCAGTTGGTACACCGTGAAAAAATGTTCGTACATGCAGAAATCCAGACGAAATTTATGATATATTCTACCCACTAGAGAATACAGGATTTAATTTTGGGAGAGACACTTCTGCCCGAAATACTTTTTTTTTTTTCATATATATAACGATAATTACTTTGGGAAAAAAAGAAAGGTACTAACTACCTAAATGAAATGATGTTTAAGTGATTCTAGGAGTCCTATTAAATGTAATCACATGAACAATAATACTTCAAGAGATAATTTTTTTTTCTTCCATAAAACATGGTTACATTTTACAATTTGGGCTCTTCAGCTCGAAACATCACCTCTTCCCTCTTAATCTCTGGTATTGGTACACTGTCAGTTATTGGTGCTTATACACTATACATTTTCAATTTCAATGTCAATAAGAAGATTTATGGAACATAATCTTCTCAACCATTATTTAATTTCTATATCTAAATTTTTTCTTATTATTGATATTAATGTATTTATTTTATTTTTTAGGCACTGTCATATTTTCCAGACGAGTGGGAAGAAGATTGTAAGAAAGAGAGTGGATATGTGGGAGATATTGGAGATCTGAGTAATTTTATTCTTATTAATTTTTTTTTTTTTTTTTTTTGGCTTTTGCTCTATAAACTGGAACAAAATTAAAAATATATTTCAATCTTGCTTAGTCTGTTTTGAAAATATAAAGTACATTTCAAATTAGAATTTCTGGAAAATTTAGCATTTAACAGTTTTCAATCATACTATGCATTTTCAAAATTTTATATAATATTTCAGATTAATGTTATCATCATATGTCACCTACTATTCTCTTAAAGCCTCTTATGCGGTATGAGGAATGTATAGTTAATGTATTGTTATTAATTAATATTCTATAAGCCAAATCAAGAAACATATTGTTAATTGAAAAGTCTTTAAAATATTTTTTTTTTCTGCGTAACTCATTTTCAATTTTTACTTGATTGGATGAAAAACTGAATAAATTACTTCTACTAAATAAGAAGCTATAAGCTAGTATTTCACCTAAATAAGAGGACACCTCCTCTTTTATTTGCGATATATATGGGTGTAAAAAGCATATGATGGTTGATATTTTATACAATATACCTCCTGATATTAAAATCAAACTAAATTTATTTATTTTATTTTTTTCTTAATTGCTAAGCTGAAAAATTGATAATATTTAACATAATTTATTGAAAGTTATTTGATTTTCCTTAACATTTATCTAACCTCTGTTTTTCAGACTACACTGATCCATCATCAGTTCCAAGACCAGCAAAGGTATAACAATTAATTTTATTTGAACCATATTATGTACTAATACTCACTTTACTTTTGAATAAACAAATATTATAAATATTGACAATTTTCAGTGTTATATGGCCTGCTTCATGGGAAAACAGCAAGTGGTAAGAATTTGTTTTTGTATATTATCCTTCATTATAGTATTGTTAAATGAAAAATATACAATAGAATATAATAAAAAGTTACTTATTTGTTTTATTAGTGGTAGGATGATTGACAACTAAAGATAATGTAAAAAAAAAAAAAAACCATTAATTAGGTATAAAATACTGAAAAAACAGTAGAGAGGTCTGTTAACAACTCATACATGTGTTCCAAAAGAGAATTTTAGCCTAGCACAGCTGACAGAAGGTGATTTCAATAGACATATACAATTTACTTTCTTCTGAAAATATTACAATTAAAATTTTATAATTTTATATTATCTTCCTCATTTCCCATATTAATTGACAAATTTAACCACTTTACAGCCAAGAGGAGATGGTCAAATTCTTATTAAATTATCTTTTTCACATAAATTTAATAAATTTATATATATTAAATTTTTAGTGGTATTTGATATATATATATATATATTGTAGGCGGGGTAGCCGAATGGGCTAAAGCGTGTGCACTGCACCGCCGTTGCCTGGCAACCTGACATATGAATTAAAGATATAAAAATAGTCACGAGTTCGCATCCCGGTGCCGGATGAGTCTTTTAAATCCCCGCCCGCACTCCCTGGCCCGGGAAAATCCCGTATAGCCTTTACGGCGAGGAAGGGAAGGACAAAAAAAAAAAAAAAAAAAAAAAAAAAAAAAAAATATATATATATATATATATATATATATATATATATATATAACTTATTTCAATTTTTCAATGTTTGTTGGTTAGTATATTACAATTTTTAATAGGTAAATTATATTTGTAAATTTCTAAAAGTAGTGATTTTTTTTTTTTAATTTGGCAGATGAAGCCTGATGGCAACATTGATTTTAAGTATGCAAAGGGTCTTTATTCTAAAGTGCACAAAGGTGATGAAAAGAAAATTCGGATGTTCCACTGGATCGTTGATGAATGTGCCAAAGAATGTAATTAATATTATATATTTTATTTTATACAAAATTTGTAAATATATTATATATTTTTTTTATGAAAGCAAGGATGATATAGAAGTCAAATTGTTCATCTTTGATAATGTCGAGTGTTTTATGATCTATAATATTCTTTTAGAAACAAATGGACATAGATAAGATTATTCTTTATAATTTGTTTATTAATGTAATTAATCCTCAGTTGAAGTTTTAATCCTTTCATTTGAAATCAATTTGTATCATTTATTAAGAAATGATAAAAAATGATTTGGTTTATTTAACTCTTTAAACCAGTATTAAACTATTATTTTAACAAATATTTAGTTCTTTGATAATTTAGTAACAATGCTTTACATTTGTATGACATTTATTCTATGGTTACTTTTGTTTTTAGATAAAGAATATCCTGACAAATGTGAAACTGCATTTTATTATGTAAAATGCAAAAGATTGAAGGTAAGCTTTGATTTATTTAAAAGTATAAGTTCTGGTAGCTAACAACTTAAATGCTATCAATATAGATATTGACATTGAAAACTAATATCCTCCATTGTTTCTGAGAATAACCAAACTAACTCGTGGCAAACTGAAAGATAAATTGTACACTGGGACATACAGATTATTCTCATCAACATAATCATTGGATATGTGAATTCTTTGAGAATTAAACATTTTTCCTGTGCTAAAGAAAAAAGTTGGCCTTGGTGATTTTTTTGTAATAAATTAAAGCATGGTATTTTTTAGACCGTAAAACGTTTTTGTGAAAGTTCTTACTTAGTGCTCTGTTTGTTACAGACTTACTTAAAATGGGCAAACTCCATTTGTCTTTCTCATACTAGATCAATGTTAAAAATGCCCAACATTTGATGTTAATTTATGTGATTTTCATTTTATTACTAGCTTGTTAAAATGTTAATTACTGTGAATAATTAAACATTTTTGTCTCAAAAATTTCTGAAATTAAATCACATCACTTAGAGATGGTTATTTATCAAAATGACATCTTAAATATGTTTTTGTTTTTTAAAATATAATTTACAGTTTTATCAAGCTTGTGACAAAAAAAAAGCTGAACACTTCTAAGTCTTAATCCCCTGTCACACCGAAGATGCAAGACACATGATGCATACCTCCTGGATGCAGGATGCATGTGTGCCTTGCAGCTTGATGAAACAGTTTTCACACTAAGGATGCACATGCCTCTTGCATCTTCTATTTATATCCATTATCTCTGTTAGTTTAGTATGTGAGTTTGAAAAATGAATAATCAATCATCCGACACTTCGGGCGACAAAATTATGATTCTGGCTTGTACAGTAAGAAGAAGACGGAGACAAAAAAGAAATCGTTTAAGGGAGCATCCATACTGGAATAATGCTGAAGATTATAGCCCTGCTATGGTTTCTCAGCAATTACTGAACCATGCAGTATAGTTTTAGGCGTACTATAAAATGGAGATTTCGACATTTAATAAGTTGTTGGATCTCATGGAACCGTCACTGAGTCGTTGGGACACAAATTGTCGGTTGTGTGTAGACTACCATGGTAATGACAAGAAAAATAGCGTAAAACATGATGAGAAATAGTTAAAAATCAGAGAAATTGATAAAAAAAGTTGAGTTAAAAAAATATATATATAAAAAAAAAATTGAAAATAAAAAGCAACTGATAGATACGTCAACCAAGAGAGCTTAGAGAAAATTGAGAAGAGAGAGGGTAGACCGAGAGTTTGCAGTGTAAGCCACCCGGACCTGATTGCTTTTCAAAAATATTTTGCTTCGGAAGAGGCAAATATCCAAGACCAGCACAACAAAGATGCACGCTAATCTCCAGCCGGCTGGTCCCCAAGATGCACTTGCGGTGCATCTTTGTTGTGAAAGCTCTCATTCTATTAAACTGACCAGCGTTTAAAATGTATGTATCCTCCCTCCAGGATGCATGCATCCTGCATTTTGCATCTTCAGTGCGAAAGGTGCCTTAAAATGAATAAATTAACTACTTCATAGTATATGTAGATAGATATATTTATATGTAAATTATATATGAATATAATAAATATTTTGAGATACCTTTTGATTTTTGTTTCAGTACGATGCTTACAACCAGTGATCGTCTGATATTTTTATTCTGCCATCAGATTTCAGAACTTTATTGCAATTTCATATTATGAACTTTCATCTTTATTAACATTTATAAATACAAATTTTAAGCATTTGTTTTTATCTTTTTCTTTTATAAGGATTTTTTAAAAAATAATATGTCTGATCTAATTTTATTTTATCAAATTATTGCTATTGTATCAATAAATTGATAAATAATTACCTTTTTTTTATTGTAATAATGATAAAATTTTATTTCCTGTATTTTTTTTTCCAACTTTGGTTTTCTATTAAAGAAACATAAACTTAGATATTTTTCTTTTCTTTTGAAAGTGGTAATGGCTTCTCCTATACAAAACCATCTTTAACTCATTTTTGGATATTGTATTGATTGACTCTCTTCTACTAAATGCCTTATCTAAATAATCTAAATTCTTTTATTCCAGTTAAAATAAAAAATATTTCATTCTACTCTTTGGTTGTTTTGACTTTAATTCAGTCAGTGACACGAGTTAATATCCTTCTTTTGGCAGAAAAATGCCTACAAATCATAACATTTTACAGATGAGGCAAAATTTAAATTAATAAAATTTAAAATTAATCTTGCTAGTGTGAAATTTACTAACAGGCGGATTACTAACAAAAAAATTACTAACATCACAGGCGGATTTACGGGGGGAGGGCTTTCGGGCTGAAGCCCCTCCTCCAAAATGGTAAAATATAACCATATTTTATAGAAAAAAATATTAAAAACTATCTCTTTAAGTGTTATTGTTCATGTAATTACATTTAATAGGACTTCAAGGTTCACTAAGAAACCATGTCATATGGGTAGTTAGTTTCTTTTTTTTTTTCAAATTAACTATCGTTATATATATGAAAAAAAAATCCTTCGGGCTGAAGCCCCCCCCCCCAAAAAAAATTAAATCCTGGATCCGCTAGTTCTAACCATTCAAATATTTCTGTGACTTCGATTCGATTAAATACGATTTTCTAACAATTTAACGAGATATAAATTTTTTCCAAAATTTTACAGCAGTGATATAGTTCCGCCAGATTAGTGTTGTTATCTGATGATAATATTTGTTTCTAAATAAATTCCTTAAAATAGGATCATAAAATGTTGACTTTTATCGAGAGGAAGTGGGAGGAGTGATAGGAAGTGAAAGAAAAAGTAAGTTTCGTCCTTCTGGTAAACATCCTAGTTTCGGATTTATATGGCACACATTGGATGCAGAATTTAACGTCTTTTAAGTTAACAATGGTTAACTGTATCACTAGGGTGCACCATCTAGGAGTCATAAGTGCTAAATCAAAACCAGAAATCCTAAAATTTCGAGATGCTTAGTTCCTTAAAGTTCTCCTGAGGTGTCCCGTACACTAGCGGATCTAGGATTTAATTTTTTTTTTTATTGGTGGGGGGCTTTTTAACTCTAGATTCCGCTTCGGTCCTTAACTGATATGCAAATTTTTTTTAAGTCAGCAACAATTCTGGAAATGTTAGACTAGGACATTTTTTCATTTTACTTTTAACTTTCACTTACGTATATATGTAATATATAGTAAGGGAAAGTATTGCGATCGTGAAAATTTTTTAATCTGAGTTTTCAAAGGAAATACACGGTTTGGGGTACCCTGAGTCCAAATGACCAAGTCCCAAAAAATGGCATGTGTGTTGTTAACACTCTAACTGATATTACGTATTTAAGATAGGTATATGCCTTAGATCTTGCTGCAACCTTTGCCTTAAAATCGGCTAACCGGAAGTGCCACTTTATATCAACGGTGAAACACATTTTTACAATTTTCTTAAAAACGCCTCTAACGATTTTGATTAAACTCGGTGTATCATTGTATAATTAAGTTGTCTTTAATATCATTTAGGTCTTATCCCTATTGATGTCACATTACAGGGCTTAAATGAGCAATGTTCATATACGTCTTCCTCTAAAGTACCTTTAATATGGTTTATATTAAAAAGTTATTCATTTCACATTATTAAGAGTAACGAAAAAATGCTAAATATTTAAGACATTTAAAGAAAAGGTAATGTTCAACAGCAGTCGTATGAGTGTTTTCTTCAGTCCAACACGGGCAGATGTAAAGGAAGAGGGCTTTCGAGCTGAAGCCCCCCTCCAAAACGCTAAAATATAACTATGTTTTTTGGAAAAATATATTAAAAAATTATCTCTTAATGTATTATTGTTCAGGTAATTACATTTAAATGACTTAAGGAATGACTTAAACAGCATTTCATATAGATAGTTAGTTTCTTTCTTTTTTTCCAAAGTAATTATAGTTATTTTTATGAAAAAAAAAGTTTTCTGGCTGAAGCCTTCCATCATAATTAAATCCTGGATCCACTCGATACAAGAAATATATACAATTGATGTTCGCGTAAAGTTCGCCATACTCTGGTAGAGGAAACATCGAAACGAAGTGACAATCTTCTGGTACTAGTAGTAGGAGATAAATGAATATCATCGAGTATTTCTTCTTCAACGTTTGCAGTTCATTGAAATCTTTGTCGACCGGCGTTTACTCGTATAGGTTTTGGCCTGCCGTTAAGCCTTAGGCGTCTTTCAATGGCCTCAAACGTTTTACAATTTGCTATTCTTCGGTTAGGAAATTTTTCACGATATCTTCGAACAACAGCAGCACCATTCCTATGTACTTCCCCATTAGTTAAAATCATGTCTGTTTGTTCTGCAAAAGTGAATACATTTATCGTGTCTCCCATGATAATCATAAATTGAACTGTGCCACAGTATTCACTCACACTAGAACACACAAAACTAGACAAACGGATGAGCAACTATTGTCAATACTTATCATTCATTTGTTTATCAGATGGTTAGATCCTGTTATTTAGTATTAAACACGTTACACTTTGTACAGTCAGTCTTAATGTAGTAAATAAATAATAAATCTTAAACCTTTGATATCTGTTTATTAAATGAGTTTGAGATATATGTTGATATGAACTTTTTTGTTTATTTTGTGCTAGTGAACACGTATATAAAATAGTGCCGTATAATTACGAAACTCCCTGTATTTTAGTTTATAAAACGGGTATTATTATGACTTATTTCTTGAAAATTATATACAATACCTCTAAGAATTAGTAAATATACAAAACAAACTGTTAAATCGCAAATATTAAATAAAAAAATCAATTTTAAAATATTCAGTGACGTATTTTTTAATCCAAGTTTCATTATTACAATTATATCATTTTTACAATAGACCCTTTTTAAGCGACCTCCGTTTGGAATAAAGGAAGTATTATTTAAGAAGAACTAATTACAATAAGAAAATTAGTCTATCCAGCTAAGAGATTTATTATTTCAAATACCTGCCCAAGCTTTCCTCACTCCGTCATTGAAGAAGTTTCTTTGGCTATATATGTAAAACTATTATCAGGTGTTCAATACCTAGGATCAGCTATTAAAGGGTTCGAGCACATACTAGGGTTGAGAAGACAAGTTTATTTGGCTCTAAAAATCTCAGAATTCATCCCGGATTCTACTGTAATCGCATATGAGGTATCATCTTATCAAATACTTTTTTACGGAAGACACGGGAGCGTGCTTTCGTTGTAAAGTTACCAGAAATATTGCTTCACAACGTCCTACTCTTAAGGTCAATGTACACGGCGATTCCCAGTCTTCTCAGACTGTTTCAAAAGAAAATAATCTGCCTTCTACTGAGGAAGATATTTTTTATTTTATTTTATTTTTTAACCTATTTATTGAATAATAATACAATCAGCCACTGCTGGAGGGCTATAAGTATTAGGGCTAAAAGTTCTCATTCATACAATATATAAAAATAATAAAGAAATAAATATAAATATAAGAAGTAAATAAATAATACTAAGATAAGAAGGTAAATAAAAAAAAAAAAAATAAACAAATAAAATAAAATAAAAACTTCTAAACACAATCATAACTATATACAATATATACATTCGCCCAAGAATCCCCGAACCAGGATTTTCCCCCCACACGTGGAAGGAAAAGCAAGACTCCGGAAGATCCCAGTGCCACTTTTCCAGCCGCATCAGTAGTATTAGCCAGTGGAGACTGAAAGAGGGCACTAGAGCCACAGACGCTCAGGACATGAGTGGAGAAGCTGGCCATTGCCAGGACTCCAAAGGCATATTTGCAAAAGATCTCGAGGCCACTGCCGTTTCAACGTTCGAGGGGGATGGTATGGATGCTCGGAGCTGGATAAGGATTGCGCTAGAGGATTGGGATGATGAATGAGGTTCTGGTGAAAGTTGGAGAATCTGGATGGGATGATGTCATGGACATATGGGATGTTAAGGTCATGGTCTAGGGTCTTGTTCGTGACATAATATAGAGCATTGACTATTGTTCGAAGGACTTTAGACTGGAAGGATTGGATGCGTTTGATATTCGATGATTTAGTTGTCCCCCACAGCTCAAGTCCGTAGGTCCAGATCCGTAGTCTATATAGCTGACCAAATCGTCGGTTAAGCTCTTGTCTTTTAAGTCTCGTATGTGGGTTCCAAGTCTCTACTGAGGAAGATATTAGCATTTGTAAATCTCCCTGGAGCCAATATCCTAATAACAAACTCCTTAATCCTGTTCCTATCGTATGTCAACCAGAAATTTCTAATCTCAATACAATTAACAATGTCACATTATTAACCCCAGATAATGAACTAGTGTATTAAGTAAAAGTAGCACTCCGGTATCGGATGCTGAACCAGATTTATGTGGTCATAACTTAAATGGTGCTGAGACTACCGATTCTATAATCAGCCAGCTAACACCATTAAAAACTGTAATAGATAATGATCATAAAGAATATGTTTTTTCAACAAACAGTTACAATCATTTATAGAAACCGTAACATCCACAAAACACCCAGCCACAATACCTTTACAGTTTATAGAAGACTTGAACAATGTAGTTCAAATGTTGTCCGAATTCTATCTACACCTTCAAAATAAAGGTATTGAAGGTCGTTTTACCAATATAT